ACGTATAAAGAGCTACATAAGCAGGTCAGGAAAGAAATAAAAGCTGCCAAGCAGCAATACAAGGACAGGGTGGAAAACTTGTTCAATACTGGTAGATCACGCCCTGCCTGGGAGGGGGTGAAATCCCTGTTGGGAATTTAACCCCAAAAGTGCAATATCTTCTTAGATGACAAGTCTGATCTTGACCTGGCAAATGAACTAAACGTCCATTCAAATCGTTTTAATGTTCATGATTTCAGCCATGAGTTGTCTGTGTTTAAGGACGTAGCATTGGAGCCGAACAGCTCGGTGCCAGTGCATGTTGACAAGGAGAGGGTCACGAGAGTGTTTCGGGTGTCAAGGAAAGGAAGAGTCTGGGTCCTTATGGGATCGGGGGGCGGGTCTTAAGGAATTGTGCCGAACAGCTGGCGGATATCTTAAGCTTTATCTTTTCTTGGTCACTTCAGACCCACACTGTCCCCCCCCTGTGGAAGGACTCAATTATTGTCCCAGTGCCCAAAAATAAATGCACAAAGACTCTGAATGACTTTAGACCTGTGACCCTGACCTCCCTGGTAATGAAGTCCTTTGAGAGGATTGTGAAAACTGACATTATGAGCACTGTTCAGGCTCACTTGGACCCCCTCCAGTTTGCGTATCGACCGGGGAGGGGGGTCGACGACGCTATAATCACCCTTCTGAACATGATCATGTCACGCTAAGATGGTGCGAAAAACTTTGTCCATCTGCTTTTTATTGATTTTACATCTGCTTTTAACTGTATACAGCCCCACATTTTATCTGAACGTCTTTTAAATTCTAATATTGACAGAGGTCTGATTTACTGGCTGTTGGATTTTTTAACTAAGAGATCACAACGTGTCAGGGTTAATGGTGTACTATCTGACACCATCTTTTCCTCCACTGGCTCCCCTCAGGGTTGCGTTCTTTCTCCTCTTTTATTTGTTCTATATACCAATGCATGTCAGAGCTCACAGGAGAAACGACACATTATTAAGTACGCTGATGATTCAGTTATCGTGTCCCTCCTCAGCCACGATGACGTAGCACCTGGCCCCGTAGTGGAGGATTTCATCCAGTTGTGCAAATCGTCCTTCCTTAGCATTAATGTCTCGAAAACAAAAAGAGATGACGATCGATTTCAGGAAGTCACACCCAGCCACCCCTCCCCTGTTGATCAACGATCAAGCTGTAGAGTCGGTGCAGCAGTATAAATACCTGGGGACAGTGATCGATGACAGGTTGTCCTTTGAGCATCAGGTGGATGCCATGTGCAAAAAAGCCAATCAGCGCATGTATTTCCTTCGTAGAGTCAAAGTTTATGAACATGTTTTATTCCTGTTTTATTGAATCAGTCCTCACCTTTGCTTTTATATGTTGGTTCGGGTCAATCACGTAAAAAAATCGGAACAGACTCCAGGGGATAGTCAAAGTGTGCAGTAAAATTGTCGGTACCCCACTGACTGACATCTCCCTCCTGCACAAATCCAGGTCCCTTGCAAAAGCTAAACTTGTCCTGTCGGACCCTTGCCATCCTCTGGCACATGAATCAGCCTGCTCCCTTCCGGCCATAGATTTAACGTGCCAAGATGTAGGACAAACAGACTTCAAAAGTCTTGGGTCCCGGTGGCTATTGGCCTCCTGAACAATACCAGTTAGTGTGCACTGTGGTCACTTTACTCCTTCTCTTCTGTCCCTTATCGTGGTATTGCACTTATGTATTGTCATTTTGTATATTTTTAACCCTTTCATGTTGTTGCTGTGTATTTTAATGTTGCTTCTGTTTTGCTGCTGGCTGCACCACAAATTGCCCCTCGGGGACAATAAAGATTTCTTGACTTGACTTGACTTTTAATATTTACGATCCTCTTTCCTGCTCTCTTTCTCATTTTTATAACATTTCTTTTTCTTACCTATTTTATGTTTATATTTTGGTTCACGTGGTCTCATTTTGTGTTGTAAGGTTCTTGTATTATCTGGGTTTCTTATAACAAATGAAATTGGCCTTCAATTCCGAGGCCTTGTTTTTGACTGAGCTTTTGATTTTTATTTGTTTTTATTTCCATGTGCTGATGCTTTGCAACAGTTTGCCAAAGCACTTTGTAAACTTGTGTAAAAGTGCTATAAAAATAAAGTCATTATTATGATTAAAGGTATTGTGATTATCTTCTAAAAAGGGTAAGACATCAATTTTTTATTAATTATTTTTTAGTGGTTAGGGCTGAAGTTGTTTAAGAGATTTGAGTCAAAGAAAGTAAGAAAAATGTTAAAAAATTATTTTATGAACACTCTGCATGTCCATTTTGCCGAAGAAGGCTGGATGGAGCTTAAGATATGGAAATTGGAACTACAAAAAAAGATTTGAATACACCAACATCGATTTTGCTTATCTAGTTGACAGGACCTAGACTCTATTTATTCAAAATAATAATTCATCTAGGTCATTTTATTTTGGTAATATGGCGATTTTGTGTTTTTATTACCATTAAAAATAACAGTTACATGATGCATTACTGGCATAAAAAGAGTTTGACATCGAATTTTTATTTATTATTTTTTTAATGGTCAGTGCTGAAGTTGTTTAAGAGATATGAGTCTAAAAATGTAATAAAAATGTTTAAAAAAATTAATAATTTAATAAATACTTATCTGCATGTCTGTTTGGGGGACAAAGTAGGCTGGATGGAGCTAACATACGGAAAATGGCACAACAAAAAAAATTGGAATGCACCAAAATGGATTTTACCATTCATCATAAACATGGCCCAGACTCTGTTCATTTAAGAAAATAATAATAACGTAGTTCTTTTTATGTGGGAAATATGGCAATTATTTATCACTTTATCACTGGTCACTTTAGTCACTTTAGTTAAATGTACCTTGGTTTTTTAATTGCACTCCTCCCATTGCACTGTTGTCCTGTATTGTGTAGTTGTACATAGCTGTTATACTTGCTGTACAAAGCATTATACATAGCCCTTTATACTTTTATACTTGATATATGTCCTGCATGCTCTTATTATTTTCTATTCTAGTATTTTTTATATATTATTCTCCGTTTAATGTTGCACCATCACGCCGTAAAAAATTCCTAGTCTGTGAATCCTGTTCATTGACAATGGCAATAAAACCCCCCTTCTGAATTTTTGTTTTTCTACCATTGAAAATAACATTGGCATGGTGCACAATAACTAGCATAAAAAAGGTGTGACATTGATTTTTTTTTTTAATTCATTATTCTTTTAATGGTCAGGGCTGGAGTTGAGATATTAGTCAAAAAAGGAAAAAGATAAAAAAAAAAGGTTGAAAAATGATTAATTTTTGAACACTTATCTCCATTTTGGACAAAGTTGGCTGGATGGAGCTTAAAATGAACAGGAATCAAGGGTTAAGTGGGTTGCATGAAAGCAGGTCAAATAAAACTAAAACAAAACTAAGATTTGACAGGAAAAGCTGGCGATTTAATTGTTATTTTAAAAGAGTGTTTATTAATTGTACTTTTTTCAGACTACCAGCTCACTAAGCCGGTCTGCAATCGTCCACTGTGCTCTCTCCTGTGGTTTAATAAACACGGTTTTGTTGCCCTTTCTCCTGATCATTTTTTTATGACCCATTGTTTAATCTGTTATTCTATAACTGATCTTGTGGTCTCTTTATATATGATGGGGTCGCGCACTCATCCCAACTATCAACACCTGACTCGACATAGCTGCAACTTTTCATCCTGGCAAATGTGCAACCAGTTAAGCCAAAAAGCACCTATTAGACGGGGTCAAGCAGTGCTTTCTCTCCTATCCTTGATTTCTTAATTCTACTTTTATGCAATACCCCCTGGCAACAGAGCCAAAAAAGTTTATAGGATGAGGAAATAGGTAATAATTTCAAACCCTTACTATTAGTTTGTAAACAAAATGGGTTTATTATTTTTGTGTTATTTATCTTTAAATGGATTCTTGTTGTTGTATCAGCTACTTTTTTACATCCAAGTTAACCTGTTTGATAGGCAACATTGTAGTGGACCTTTGTAGTGGAGGGCTCAGGTTCAGGTCTCACATTAACATTGTCTACCAGTGCCAGGGGAGGGGTGGAGGGGGGGTCTGGGTCTGGGGGGGGGGGGGGGGGGCAGCTGCAGTGGACCACCTTTGGGGTTAATATATAAGAGTAAAAAACAGCTTACGTTGTGACAGCAGTAAAGCGTTCCTGTCCAGAGTGCTCGGACAATAGTCAGACAGGTAATTTTGTTGAGCGGAATATTCCAAAGATTTTGTAAATTTTGTGAGTAGACTGCTCTTATTCAAAAATTGTGTTCCTTTTAATTCACATTCCTATTATTAAGTATCTGTTACACATTAAGGGTACGTTCACACTGCTGGTTATGATGCACAATTCGGATTGTTTATTAAATCGGATTTTTTTGTGCGGTCATTCACATTACAACAACGAGTGGGCATCTAATGTGAATAGAATGTGTACGTGAAGTGACCCGCGTGCGCACAAAGCAGGACGTGACGTTCTGCCACATCAAATGTTCCGTTCCCTTGTCCGCCATTGCTTTGTGCGCCTGTTTGTGTTGTCGAACAATGGTGACGTTTGTTGCATATTGATGACGTATAGGTCGGATGACTGTGACCTGAGCGTCCACACTGCAGTCACATAGGATTCATATCCACATACAAAAGAGGCCTGGGTCAGATTTTTAAAAAAATTACAATTGCACTGTTCACGCTTACATGAAAAAATCAGGTATGTGTCACATATGGTTAAAAAATCAGAATTGACCTGCAGTGTGAATATAGCCTAAAGCCGCGTTCAGACCAGACGCGACCTCTGCGACTTCAGCGACGGCTCCCAATGCAAAGTCTATGAACAGCCGCGACCTGACGCGACTTGGCAACCGCCGGCTTCCTGCGACGCGACCATGCGCGACCGGGCGACCAGGTCACGCATGGTCGCCGAGGTCGCGCATGGTCACGTCGCCGAGGTCGCAGGACGCCAAGTCGCGTCGCTCCCAAAGTTCAAATATTTGAACTTTGGGAGCGACTAGCCGCGACTCCGTGCCGCGACAGCCAATCAGGGCTCTGCTGACGTCAACAAACCGGCGAAGCAAGGAGGAGGAGGGGAAAATCAAAAATCAAACAATGGAGGAACAGTTAATCACGGCGGTAAGCTTCCACCCGGTCCTGTACGACGTGGGGTGCGGACTGTACCGGGACCGCACCTCCAAGGACGAGGCATGGGTGAAGGTGGCCCATGATGTCGGGCTTTCTGGTAAGTTTGTTTGTGTATTTATTTCAGTGAGCGGACAGTTTTATGAAAACATAGCTAACTGCCCCTGTATGCTAGGCTACATGTTTCAACGTATGTGTGTGTGTCTTTGCAGTGGATGTGTGCTGCAAGCGGTGGAAGGGGCTGCGGGACGTTTACTTGAGGGAGAAAAGGAGGGAGAAAGAAGGCGGGAGAAGCGGGTCGGCGGCCTCCCAGCAGAGGAAGTGGCGTTTCACTGCGGTGATGTCCTTCCTCGACCCCTTTATTGCCCCGAGGGACACATCAAGCAACATGTCTCGGGAGGTCGAGGAAGACTTCACCGCAGAAAATGCTGCTTCTTCTGCTGGGATGCCTGAAGACCTGGAGGAAGCAGGCCCCTCAGGAGTGGAGTTTGACGGTTGGTTGATGAGTGAAAAACATAGCAAATAAATTTGAGTCCCCTCATGGTTTAAACACACCATTGTAGTCTAATTTAAGATGGACAGATCAAGTCATGCACATGTAATGTGTGAACATTTTTTATTTGAATAACAATGTTGCCTGATTGCAGAGTTTTGATTTCAGACATTTTTGTCACAACTTTAACTAAAGATAAGCCTGCTCCCTCTCCTGCTTCAGCTCCCTCTCCTGCAGCAGCTCCCTCTCCTGCCCCAGCTCCATCTCCTGCTTCAGCTCCCTCTCCTGCTCCGTCAGCTTCTCCTGCTCCCTCAACTGTGGCAAGTGATGCCTCGGGCCCCACTGCAGCCAGGCCAAGAGGTATAGAAATTAAATATTAACCATATATTCAATGAAATTGCTCAAGGTCACATAGAAATTATAAAACAAATAGTAACCGATTAGTTTTTTTTTATGACAGGGAGGAAGAGGAGGACGCCTCCCTCCTCACGACTGGAGGAGATTGAGGAGCTCCTCTGTCAGGCCCTGAGGAGGCAGCAGACTCCCCCTCCACCACCACCACCACCCACATCTCGCTATCCCGAGGAGGAGCATTTCCTCCTAAGCCTGGCTCCTTCCCTCGCGAGGCTGTCACCCCAGGCTAAGGAGCAAGTTAAATTTCAAATGTATAAATTAGTTTTTGAAGCTCAGGATTTCACACTGAATTTGGAACCAGTGGAACCTTAGCTGGGGTGACAGCCTCGGGGGGGAACGAGCCAGGCTCCTCTGTTTCAGCCATGCTCCCCCCCATCCAACTTGTAAATTTGTGTATATAGTTGAAATTTTTTATTGTATTATATTTTTATATCTGCTGTTGCAGCCGTTCAAAAATTTGTTTTATTTGTTGTTATAAAAAGTATTATTATTGTTACATTATTATTGTTATATTTGTTGTTATAAATATTGTTATTATAAAGTTTTCTCAACTTTGCCTTGTTTCCTTCTTTAACATGCAGTCATGAAGTAAAATAACTAGGTTGCAGTGCTTCGATGTATAAACTTTACTTAACCCTTGTGCACCCCTTAAAATGTAATGACACCGTTACTGTTGTCTGGGCTAACAAATTAATAATAATAATACTGATCTTGTTGAATGATATGGACCTATTGGGTCTGAAATAAAGTTAGTAAATAGATAGTTAGATAGATGGTAATATTTCAAACACAGATTACCTACATGCTGAAATTACTATCTTGATCATGTCATGTTGACAATAGTTTGTTGACACAAAAGAAATGGCAATTGCATATCACTTTCACCTACACAGGACACTCGTTAGCTTTCAATTAGTACTTAGTTTTTTCACTTTACATTAATTTCCATATTGTATAAGGGACTGGAAAAAAAATTGAGCCCCTGCCCCTGTATAATCATGTGCATGTCCCTGTACTGGCTCCAAGGTTAATCTTCACTGCTCATGTTCTCCTCAGAAGCACTCACCTCACTCCCCTCAGGTGACTGTACATGCAGCAACTGCCTGCTTCAGGTTTAGATGGCGCTTCATGGTTGTGTTTTGGAGAAATGACCAGCCAAGTTGTGTTAAAAATTTAAATTTTTCTAGGGCAAAAGGAAGCCTCCGCATTCCTATCGGATATGTAAATAGCATGTTTTTGCAGGTGCATAAAAAGGGTCTGTGTGTGTGTGTGTATCTTGCAGTACTCTGAGCAGAATGAGAGGCAGGACACAGACACAGTTATGGAGACATTCTTGTACATATATGTAGGACATTTGCTCAACAGTTGTTTGTGGTGGCTCTGAAAAGAACCGTTGTGGGGGTGCAGTGCACAAGATGGAATCCTGCCATGAGACCGCTCCTTCAGCTGAGAAGTGCTCGGTGAAGGACTGCCTGACTGCGATGGCCTCCCGGGACGGGTTGTTTGAAGCGACACGTCCCAGCCCTGCCTGAGGCTCCTCACCACCTGTGATGGCACCCAACCCCATGGCAGCTTCAGGCTGAGACCTTCGCAGGAAGTTATGAAGGACACAGGTGGCCTTCACACACTTCTCTGCAACATCTGGAGAAACCTCAAGGGCACGTCGGTACATCCTCCACTGAGTGGAAAGAATGCCGAAGGCATCTTCAACCACCAGCCGCGCCCTGGACAGCCGGTAGTTGAAAATGCGCTTCTCTCTGGGGAGGATGCGCCCTGGATACGGCCTCATGAGGTTTCTCCGGAGCGGGAAGGCCTCATCTGCAACAAACACATGAGGTTGGGGTCCCCTGTGTTCAGCTTCAGGCAGTGACCGATCCGGAGGCAGCTGGAGGGAGCCAGAACGTAGGGCCTGACCAAACGCAGAGTTGGCCAGAATCCCCCCGTCACTGGTCCTCCCGAAGCCTCCGACATCGATCACTCGGAAGCAATAATTGGCATCTACAACTGCCAAGAGAACAATAGAAAATGTTCCCTTGTAGTTATAGAACTGTGATCCTGAATTGGCAGGAGCCTTCAGAACCACCTGCTTCCCATCCACTGCACCACAACACAAGGGGAAGTTCCACCGCTCCTCAAAACCCTGTGCTATGGATCTCCACTCATCACAGGTGGGCACAGCCATGAAGTCCTCCACCAAGCACTCCCAGATGCAGGACACGGTGTCTGCCACGATGCCCGACACGGTGGAAACTCCAACCCGGAAGCTGTATGCGATGGTCCTGAAGGAGTCTCCAGTAGCCAGGAACCTAAAGCACATAAAAATTAATTTCATTACAAATTTTATTTAAAATATGAGGCCATATGAAATAGAAACGTAACCGAAGATTTGAGTGTCCATAAATCCTCTTTGACACAAACATTTATGCTAGCACCCAGTGTATCTGGTCATTTTAAAGTAATTGATTTCCAGGTAATTTTTTTACAGTATGTATTGAATGTGTTAAGGGTTAATTTTTTTCAGTGTAACTTCTTACTTTACTGAGTGGATCAAATAAAGGACACAGACCAATCCTGTTTACTTCTTCAGCAGCACCTTATCAGTCTGATCAGATAGGATTATTTTCACAGGAGTTATATTATCTGTCTTTAGTAAATTGATCAGATTCACAGAATTTCTAAATCACATTAGTGTGTGCAAGAGAAGTTTTATTTTGACTGGATATTAAAGGACAGAGGCAAAGAGCAGCTCACAGGAGGAACTCAGTGTACAGAAAGCTGATAAACTTTGCAGTTTTGCCTTATTTGCCCAGTGTATCTGCTCATTTTAAATTAATTATACTTGATTATACTCACCGCAGACAGATAGACAGGCGCTCCGAAGCTGGAATGGAGCGCCTGTAGTTGGTGTCCTGGCGGGAGATGCTGCTTCCCACCCGGGCGAGGAGGTCCTCAAACTGCGCCGTCGACAAACGGAAATACCGCTGGAAACGGCCATCGTCGAGGCGGAGCTCCTGGAGCAAACGGTGATATTCACCCAGCTCCGTCCTCCTCCGGATGGTTTCATGCACCCATACACGCCGGCGGCGTCTATGTCGGACACGAAGGTATGCGGCAGCACAGGTCACGATGTCGTCCATCTTCAACACTTGTCGCACTGAAAACTGAGCTACTGACGTTAACGTGATGACGTCATCGGCGACCAGCCGCGACCTGCGACCTCCGCGACTGCAGCTTTGGACCCGGTGTTGACACACCAGGGCACCACGCGACGCGACCTGAGCGACCAACGCGACGCGACCTGGTCGCGTTTGGTCTGAACGCAGCTTTAGAGTTGTGTTATCCGCTGTTTCTCATATATCTGCTGTGGAGGTCCAAATAACTTTCTGGAAAGCTTCCAGAAGCCAATTAGAGTTTAGGTTCCTGCTCTTACCCCTCCACTCTCTTAATCTTAATTTTCTGAACTTTTCTCTCCATTCCTCTTCCCTCTCCCCCATCCTCTCCCCAATCCCTTCTCTCTCCTCCTCTTCTCACCATCCACTTGTAGAGATGTATAAGGCCTCGGGGCAGCCTTGTTAACTCAACCCTCTGAGACCTTTCCTTTCAACAGCTCTCATTTCTACTTGGCTAAATTCCCTGCTTCACTCACTTGCTGCTTGGAAAACTGATTTCCTGGTGGACTCAGTGGAGGACTCATTGACTGACCTGCTGACAAAGTGAGTGTCTGCTGGGCTCTGCCAACAGGCTGACTCAACAGAAGAGGAGCTAACTGAGTTGCCAGAAGCTGAAATAACGTCATGACTGACAGGTTAAACAGACAGCTGCTTTCCTATTAAATTTATGATTTTAATTTTGTGTTATCTTTGTGAAGCATGGTTGGACTACAAAAAAATTTAATGAGCCCCAGACACTAAGCACAAATAAGGCTGTTGGGGGAAAAATTCAATCAGGAACGCTGCAAAAAGTATGCAAACCAAAAAACGTGTTTACAAATTTGTGTAAGATTTAACGTGACTTTACAGTTTAAACTAATGTCAATTGTTAATGTTTTACTTTGCCCAGGACTAAAAATATCTGTCTAGGGTCTCATTCATCCAGGTCATGGTTATCCAATTCTTTGGTGAAAGAGCAACTGGACCTGTTTAAGGTTCTTGATGGCGTTTCGCCTCTCCACCAAAAGGCTTCTTTAGCGCTAACGTGACTGGGACCATAGTTGGAAATGTATAGCTCTGTTGGTCCTCCAGCTGTAAAAGGGGTGAGGGTTCTGCTTCTGTATCTTCAAGTTAGTAACATTTTTATGGCTGTTTTTGTGGCTGTGATAAGGTCAACAACAGGTATTACATCTGGAGTGGCTGCAAAATGAAACCTTAGGCCATTTCCTCAAGAGATGTAGTAGTTATGTGAGGTCAGGTCCTGTCCACTGCTCTGAGAAAGTGGATGTATTTCCTGTGGGATGTATCTGTCCGAGAGAATGTAACTTGCAAATGTGATGCTTTTTGACCTTTGAATGTTGTAGAGACTGTAACCTTGCAACCAACATGGATACTTGTTCCATCACTTCTGTGGGAAGAATGGAGGTTAACCCACCAACACAGTGTGACAGAGGCTGGTCCATCCTAAGGACAAAATCCTCAGACACAAACAGAGCGATGTGGTGTACATTGTGAAATGCTCTGGAGAATGCAGGGACTCATACATCCGGGAAACAAAACTGGCATTACATAAACACATGGCCCAGCACAGGAGAGCCAACTCTTCTCGTCAGGACTGTTCACTTGTTCACTTACATCTAAAGGATACAGGACATTCCTTTGAAGACAGCAATGTCAGGATACAGGCCAGGGAAGACCACTGGTTTGAAAGAGGTGTGAAGGAGGCCATCTGTGTCAAAGTGGAGAAATCATCCTTGAACTGAGATGTTGGACGAAGGAACTTCTTATCCCCCTCTTTTAATTTAGATTTCTTTTGACAATAGTCAAAACAATGCTAGTTCATGTAAGCATGGCAACTAAAGAAGCCCAGGATGGCACCACCCACAGTGAACCTAGGTCAACAACCTGGCAAACTACTCTCAGTCAACCACCCACCCCGTTGACAAGGGGAGGACTAACAGAGGCTATAAATTTCCAACTCTGGCCTTTCAGAACTAAAGAAGCCTTTTGAAAGAGAGGTGAAATTTCTTCAAGAACCTCAAACAAATCCAGTTGCCCTTACAATAAAGAATTGGATCTGTA